TAAAATATTTGTGTTGTCCAGTTTTCAACAAAAATTATATGAATATAAAAATAATAGAAACTATAGCCCATATGTAGTAAAAAAAGTTATCAGTAGAAATTGTCCCCAAGGAAGCCCAATGGTTTCACTTACTAAACAAAGACTTTAAATTATCTATTTTAAATATGTTCAAATAGCTAATGGAAACCATGTACAAAATATAGAAAATTATTAGACCAGTGTCTCACCAAATAGAGAATATCAATAAAGAGTGAGAAATTTAAAAAGGATCCAAATTGAAATTTTGGAGTTGAGGACAACAATAACTGAAATGAAAATTCACTAGAGGGACTCAACAGTAGATCTGAGCAGGCAGAAAAAGCAAAGTACTTGAAGAGAGGTCAGTAGAGGTTATCCAGTCTAAAGAACAGAAAAAAAAAAAAAACAGAGCCTTAGAAACCTTTGTAACATCATCAAACATCAACATATGCAAAATAGGAGCCCCAGAAAGAGAGAAAAGGGGTAGAAAAGATATTTGAACAAATAATGGCCCCAAACTTTCCAAATATGGTGAAAAAATAATCTACACATCCATGAAGTTTAGCAAACTTTAATTAAAATAAATTCAAAGAGATCCACACCTAGACATACCATAATCAACTGTAAAAAGACAAAGACAGACAGAGCTTTGAAAGCAGCAAGAGACAAGCAGCTTATCACATGAAAAGGATCCTCAATAACGTTAACTTATTTCTCATCAGAAACTACAGAGGCCAGAAGTCAACAGAAATAACATATTCAAAGTACTAAAAGAAAAACAAATAACTGTAAACCAAAAATTCTATATCCATCAAAACCATCCTCAAAAATCGATAAATTAAGACATTCCCAAATAAAAAACAAAGAGCATCAGTAAAGGTAAATATAAAAGACAATATAAATGTATCTTTTGTTTATAACTCTTTTTTCTATCTCATTTAAAAATCAGCTGCTTAAAGCAATAATTACAAGTCTATGTTGATGTATACACAGGATATAAAGACTTAATTCTAATAATAAGAGTATAAAAGAGAGGAGAGGAACAAAATTTTTGTATACTATTGAAATTAGGTTACTATTAATGTGAATTAGGTTATTATAAATTAAGATGTTAATTGTAATCCCCAGGTCAACTGCTAAGAAAATAACTCAAGATAGATAGTAAAAAACAAAACAAAAAAAGACAAGGGAATTAAAATAATATGCTAGAAAACATCCTTTTAAGAACAAAGAAGGCCCGGCCAGGCCTGGCTCAGCTGTTGAGCATCGACCTAGGATCCAGGCAATCGGGGTTTGATTCCCGGTCAGGGCACATGCCTGGGTTTGTAGGTTCGATCCCCAGCAGGGAGACGTGCAGGAGGCAGCTGATCAATGACTCTCTCATCATTGATGTTTCTATGTCTCTCTCTCACTCTCCTTTTCTCTCTCTGAAATCAATAAAGATATATTTTTTTAAAAAAAAAAAAAAGAAGGCCATAATAGAAAAGTTGAAGAACAAAAAAAAAAATAGATAAAACTATAGAAAACAAATAGTAAAATGTTATTTTTACATTAAATGTAAATGGATTAAGCTCTTCAAATAAAAGGCAGAGATTGGGATAAAAGATTAAAAACAACGTGATTCAACTATATACTGTCTACAAAGACTCACTTTAGAATCAAAAACACAAAAAGGTTCAAAGTAAAAGGATGGAAAAAGATAATCCATACCAAACAAGAGCTGGAGTGGCCATACTAATATCACACAAAATACAATGGTTAATAGAGACATAAAAGTACATTATATAATGATAAAAGGGTGAGTTCATCAAGAATATAACAATTATAAATGCATATTTACCTAACAACAGTACCTCAAAATACATGAGGCAAAACTCATATAACTAAAGGGAGAAATAGACAACAATCACAGATGAAGACTTCAATACCACCTTTTAAATAATGGCTTGACTAACTAGACAGAAGATAAGCAAGGAAGAAGACCTGAAAAACATTAGCAACCAACTAGACCTAACAGACATACACAAAACAACCCACCAAATACCAACAGGGCACACATTCATCTCAAGAGCACATTCTTCAGGATAGGCCTTATGTTAGGCCACATAACATGTCTCAATAAATTTTGAAAGACTGAAATCATACAAAGTTCTCCAGCCACAATAAATTAACTGAGAAATGAATAACAGATGGAAATATGGGAAATTTGCTCCTAGGGAAATTTACAGCAGTAGATGCCTATGTTTCTCCAACCTAACTGTCCCCTTCACAGAACTAGAAAAGAAGTTCAAACTAAACTCAAACCAAGGAGAAGGAGGTAAAATAAAGCTTGGAGCAGAAATTAATGAATTAGAGAATTGAAAAACAATAGAGAAAAATCAATGAGACCAAAAATTGGTTCCTTGAAAAGATGAACAAACTTTTAGCTAGAAAATTGACAATTATTTACTTAGACTTACCAAGAAAATAAGAGAGAAAACTGAAATCACTAAAATCAGAAATGAAACAGAGGCCATTACTATTGACTGATAGAAATGTCCTCTAATTATATAGTGGTAATGGTTCTACAACATGATGAGTATACTAAAAGCCACTGAATTGTACACTATGACTTTTATGTTATATAAATTACATCTTAATTTAAAAGTTAAAAAATGATATTATTACAATACTAGCTATGGGAAAGACATTAAAGAGTAAAGGGTTTATTTTTTTTTAAGATACTACACAGTACAAAACTTTTCTAGGGATCACCATTGCTGTCTGCTCTACATTGTACCCTTTAATTTTATTTCTCATATCCATTGCCTGCCACACTATATGCATAATCTTAATTTTGGATGAAAAAATGTTAGATCAAAGGGAGAGACAGCAACTATATCTGTTTTTTCAACTCTGACATATTCAAAAGATGGGTATCAGTCCAATCATTATAATAACTCTCCAGAAGGGCAATCTGTCAAATTAGTCTTCATTAAAAATCAATTGGAAATATTTATTGAGTGACTGTCAGCACTACAACATATGAGCAAGAGGAGGGGCCCTATAAACAAGAGCATTGACCATGTCCTCCAGATGTCTATGGATTCACTGTAACTATGAAAGGTATCAAGAGCCGATGCAAATTGTATGTTGGAGCTGTCATTCAATGGGAGTGAGAATAGTCTAAGAAGCTCTCATAGCCAAGGTGGAGTGGGAGGCTCATGGATTGGTGTAATAGCGACCAGACTGTTGGGTTTGCTGGGAACCAATTATTTTCCAATACTTAAGCTAAATCCTACTGAATTGTGCTTGGAAGGTTTTAAAAACATATAGTTACTATTTTCGGATGGCATAAGGTTTGACTCCCTCCTTGGGGTCCAGGTTTGATAATCCAGATGGCATGCTAAGAGAGTTGCTGACAGTCATCTAAGGTCTGGATAAGTCATTGAACATGGGCCCTTCCAAGCACCCACTCTCAATAATGCAGTCATGCACCACGGACAGAGCACATACACATATATATCCAAGTCCCCTTCCACCTCCCACAAAGCCAGTGTGCCTGCTCAAGAGGTTCTTTTGAGGGTATAAGGGAGTGTAGGGACGTATTTTACTAAATAGCTATCCCCTGATAGATCCCCCTGGAGGACCCATTTACTCTTTTAATCAATTGGGATAGCATCTCATTCCCTGGAATTGTTTATATTGCACTCAGAGGAAGAAGAATTATTCACGTAGTACAGGAGCGGCATAGAGCAGCTGGTAAAAACCTATGGCCATGGCAAACCCATTAACTGACCACAATACCCTTTCCAAATAAGCCCAGATATGACCTCAGGCTATTTCTCAAATGGCTTCTAGCAGCCACCACCACTAAAGTGGAATTGGAATTGTGAAATGACATCTATTTGCTGTCCTTGGAACAGAATCTAGCCCATGGACTTTAAGGAAGCCCCTCCTTTAAGCCCTCAGTTATGTTTTTCAATTACAGTTGGCATTCAATGTTAGATTAGTTTCAGGTATACAGCATAGTGGTTAGACATTTATATAATTTAAAAAGTGAGTCCCCCAATAAGTCTAATACCCATGTGGCCCCACACATAGTTATTACAGTATTATTGACTACATTCCCTGTGCTGGACTGAACATCCCTGGGCTGTTCTGTAACTACCAGTTGTGCTGTTCACTCCCTTCACCTTTTTCACCCAGCCCTCTACCCCCTCCCATTGGGCAACCATCCGTTTCTATGAGTCTGTCTGTGTTTCGTTTGTTCATTTATATTGCTATTTATTCTTTTAAAGATATTTTTATTGATTTCAGAAAGGGGAACGGAGAGGGAGAGAGAGAGAGATAGACACATCAATGATGAGAGAATCGTCATTGATCGGCTGCCTCCTGCATGCAACTCGGGCATGCACCCTGACCAGGAATCGAACCCTGATCTCCTGGATCCTAGGTTGGTGCTCAACCGCTGAGCCACACTTGGCAGGGCTATATTGCTCTTTAGATTTAGCACATATAAGCTAAATAAGTCAGACAGAGAAAATCCGCAATTATTTTTAAACCTTTGTCACTTGGGTCATTTTAAGCTTTTGTGAACACAAGTTTCCTGGGATAAAAGCCAATTCCAAAAATTTTAAATTTAATGGAATTGGCATTATTTGGGACAGCTCTGCCAATATTCATACATTTAGTAGGTAACAGATATAAGTATATCATGTGTGTCATAAGTATAACATTTCAAACATTTCTCAAAACCAGCTTCTAGTGTTATTATTTCTTAAGAGGAACAAGTGAGGGCAGGAGAGGGACTAGCCAAACAGAGGGTGGTAGGGGGAAATGGGTAACAGGTAAAGGAGGGGGAAAGGAAATGGGTGAAAAGCACAGGGGTTAAAAGGTTGGCAGACAGCAGAAGGGACTGACCTGCCAAAAATCAAGCTCTAGGCTATGACAGGAAAAGGAGAGAGCACTACGCTCATCACACAGGGTTTCCTGGCACGTACTTGGGATGCTTGTAGGCCATGAGGCATCGCTCATACTTCCCCACCATGCTCCAGGCCATGACCAGGCCATCGCTACTTCCCGAGAGGAGGTGCCACTCGTCAAGGTACAGGCACTTCACCGCTCCCTCGTGGCCGCTGAGAGTCTGCAAGGAAAGTTGCCCGTTTTCAGCCCATCCTCAACACAGATTGTGGCTCCTCCAAGGGCCAAAGCTGGAAGCCTCTTTAGATAAATTCCAAAGCCAGTCTCCACCAATCCATTACTACCACTCACTTGGTATTTAGCCAACCGAAGGCTGGTAGAGTCCATGCTCCCTCTCTCCAGGGTTCCCTCCCCAGTGAAGGGGGGATATGATCAGGGAGAAGACTCGCTGTTGGCGGGCCCATGGCTGAGGCAGGCCCATCGCCCTGGTGTACCAGAGAAGGCCAGGACCACCGTCCCCTGCCACCAGAAGGAGAAGGGCCAGGTGTCCCATCCCCAGCTTCTTCCAAGAACCAGCAGGCACCTGGGGCATCCTTGTGCCTGCAGACACTGGTTAGACCACAGTAACAACAAGATTGGTGGTAAAAAAAAAAAAAAAAT